AGTTGGTTATTTTTTTAACTTCAAAAAGAGTTGTTCTTTTTATTAAAGTGTATGTGTTTATGCCTGTGTGAATTTATGTGCATGCATGCGCTGGTGGAGGCCAGGAACTGGAGTTCCAGGCAGTTGTGAGCACCTGATATGGGTGGGGGGAACTGATCCCCGGTCCTCTGAAAGAACAGTAAGTGCTCTTAATCACTGAACCATCTCTTTAGTCCTTATAGTTATTTTGTTAAGACAAAATGTTTTCTAAAGTTTGCCCCAAAAGATAGAAAGGAATCATCATGTATAAAAATAAATGTAAAAGTTATATATATGAATGTATTTTGGTAAAGGTTAAAGGAAAGAGGAAATGTGTTTTTTAGATGAGAAAGAACTTGTATGATAAAATGAAGTTTTCTTCTAAATGAAAAAGAAAAGGTGAGGACAAAAATAGGGGGCTGGTATTATGGCTCAGTGGGCAAAGGTGCTTACTGCCAAGCCTGACTATCTGAGTTTGATCCCCAGGACCCACATGGTAGAAGGAGGGAACCAACTCCTGAAAGTTGTCCTTTGATCTCTACATGTGTACCATGATGCACGTATAAGTAAACAAATGTATAAAAATGTCAAATTTAAAAGTCTAGGGTATGTCATAAAAATTTTGTGAAAGACAAAATTTAAAGATTATATGTATAAGACTGTTTGTTATAATTAAATATTATTAAAAATTCTTCATGTCAATTTAAGCCCACTGATATAAAACTGAAACCTTACTTACTTAAAACAATTAGGTTTTACATTCACACAAAAGAAAAATTAGCTGAAAGAACAGGATTTTTCATTTTATTCCTTTACTGAATTGGCTATTTGAAACCTGTCAATTTGATTTTATTCAAATGCTTCCAATACAATGATAGAAATATTTCTTAATGCTAAATTTGTGTATTTTTCCATTGGGTTGAATTATTCTCTTATCAGAAAGCTACTGCCTTAGCAATGAGAAATATTAAAGAGAATTATTTCTATCTGGGCACTTCTACTAAATTGCATAGTAATTATGGAACTTATTTTAATGGGCCAATATTTAAATCTAGTTCCAAATCTATTGTATTGAATACAATTTAAATTGTGCCTACAACCTTCAGTCCTCTGAATTGATGTCTAAATGAAAAAAAAATGCCAGTAAAATAGTATTTGTCAAAACTGACTATAGCTTTCACCTTCCTTGGACAAGACATTCTCATTGGTTCTTCTAGATCTGAGATCTATCCCACTGGAAAGTGTCAACACTCGGTTTATAAAATAATTACTAGATATCCTATAAAAACTTTCAAAAACTGCATGAGTCATTTTTGCATAAGGTAGACATTCTACAGTATTATGAGTGGCTTAAAATTCGTAGCAAAAATTAAAATTTGGTTACAGAGTCTTTTCACAGTGAGTACCCAGGAAACAAAAAAAATAAAAATCTCGATGGCAAGTCTCAGCCATAGAATGGATCATATAGAGGACAGATTATCATGGTTTGAGAATAATGTAGAGAATTTATATCATTCTTTAAAATTCAATGACAAATGAAAAAATAAACATATTTTTTTGGTTTCAAAGGCATCATTCAGAAAATTAAAACAGAACAACTGAACGTGTTTGCAAATCACGTATCTAGTAAGAGAATTGAATTTAGTATATATAAACCTTTTTTTTACACAAAGCCTTATCTATTTTTATCCATGTATGTGTGTGTGTGTATGTGTGTGTGTTATATGTTTGTATGAATGTATACCATGTGTCTGAGGATGGTCACAGAGTTCAGAAGAGGGCATCAGATGACCTGGAGTTAGAGATGATAGTGAGCTGCTCAACATGGGTGCTGGGAACTGAACTAGGGTCCTCTGGAAGAGCAGAATGCTCTCTTAACATTGAGATGTCTCTCTGTTCATGAAGATCTCTTTAAAGTGAGAAATACTTCAAACAACACAATTTAAATGAGTGAATTTTTTGTATATACAATTTACCAAAGAAGATATACCATTGGTCAGTATGCCAATGGAAAGATTTTAAAATAATTAACAATAATGAGAATGCAAATCATTCCTCAGGAGGATATCATTTCACACCCATTATAATACATAAAATAAAAAAGACAGACAATAATAATTTGGTGAGAATATGAAAAACTCAGAACCGTCATATATTATTGATGTGAATGGGAAATGGTGACTCCAAGTTGGAAAACAGTTTGACAGTTTCTCAATGTGTTAAACATAGATTATCATTTTCTCCAGCCATAATTTTTCTTTTTTCATCATGCTTAGAATTGAGCCCAGAGTCTTGCACATAGTAGAAAAGCACTCTATCATTGAAATATGTCCCCAGCCTTTTGATGCAGAAATTCTACTCCTAAGTAAAATTTGCATGAACATTCATAACAGTACTATTCATAATATGCAAATCTGTAAAGGATGCAGATTTACATAAACCGATGAATGAATATCAAATGCCTTCTACTTAACAGAATATTATTACAAAATAAAAAGGAATTAATGATCATATATGCTAATAGCACAGATGAACCTTCAAAATATTATTCTGAGGGGCTGGAGAGATAGATGGCTCAGCAGTTAAGAGCACTGGTTACTCTTGCAGAGGACCCAGGTTTGATTCCTAGCACACACGGCAGCTAATAACCATCAATTCCAAGGAACCCAATACCCTTTTATAACCTCTGCAGACATTGCACAATATGGTGGATATACTTGCATGCATTCATGCAACACACTCATATGCATAAAATAAAAAAGTAATAGATAAGTTTTTTAAGTCCTGAGTGAAAGAAGCTAGTCACAAAACCCTCATGCTTCATGATTCCATTTATATGAAATTTTGACAATATTCAAGTCCATATAGACAGAGGGTAGATTGATGGTTGCCATAAACTGGGTTGAGGGCTACTGGAGGTGGAAGGTGGGAATGCATTATGTCTGTGAATAAATAGTTTCTTTTATTGGATGACGATGATGTTCTAAAATTAAGTAATAGATAAACAACTCTGTGGATGTGCTACATACCAGTGAATTGTATACATGTTTTGTGTGTGTTTATATCAATCCTCATGCTAGGAAAGTCTTCTATGACCTGAATTATATTCTCAGCTCCAACTTTTATTACATGAATTTTCTGGTAGGTGAATAAAATTTGTATTTTTAAAAGTAAATTTTTCTATTTAAAAACAAAATATTGTTTCTCCGTGGTAGAGGAGGTGCACTGTAATCAACCCTACCTCTGGAATTGTTACCATATTAAGGACTCATCTTTGGCCTTAGTTTTTGGCATAATCCAAACTCAGCTATGATAGTAGTCCAATCAGGTTGGAGAAATCAATATTGTTGATCTCATTCATATCACTATTCTTGTTTCCATGGCCACTTTGTACTTGGGCCTATTGATCAGAAGCTGACAGATTGACTGATATCTACAGAGACAATCCTTTTTTTCCTGCCAATTTTTGAGTTTCCTCTGCTGTGGATGCCCTTCGTGCACATTCATTAACTGAATAAGCCAACATGGATTATTTAGAATGGCATGTACTACAATACCTTTCAAGACCCTTCAAATGAGTAAAAACAATCTGAAACTTGGGAAACTTGAAAAAGCCCTGTGCCTCTGTTTCTTTCCTGCCATTCAGATGCCTTCTGTGAGTTGTTGCCTTAGTGTAGGGAGAATGAGGTTGATCTATCTCCCACTGCCAAATGCTTTCCCCCAAAGTCTGGGAAAACTGACTAAAGGCAGCTTGTTCCTTCTGGAATCTGGATTCCAAACTCTTTTTTTTTGCTGAGACTGGATACACAAGTCCTCCCTTAAAAAGTAATGTAGATAATCTTTTAACTATTAGAGTACAAGGCTGGCTCAGCTATTTTCTGAGATGAGCAGAAAAAATAAGTTTAAATTTTCTGATAATTTTTAGTAACATCTGACTAAAAAGATACAAGGCATTACATGGTGGTCCATCAAGGAAACCACAGGTTACTACAGGGTAAGTATCCCTTGCAAGAAATGCTTGGGCCTAGAGAGGTTTCAGGATTCGGAGGGGTTTGTTTGAATTTTGGAACACTAACCTAGTCCTTACCTGTTAAGCACCCCTAATATAAACTCCAAAATAGCCAAAATCTATAGCTGGAAGAGGGGCATTCTGCATACTCCTTTAGAGGTCAATAGGGGAACTTAGCCCTTTGAGGACTATAGGGAACTGGAAGAGCCTTACAGTCACAAAGAACACCATTATAGAAGTGTCAGGGAGTAAATGTACCAGGCATAATGGGACAGGAAGTTAGATATGGTAGTATCTAAAGATTCACACCACATCTCAGCTGCCTGGAGTTGTTCCTGGAAATAGGTGACAACTATTGTCATCCCTTCCCCTGGTTGACAGGATTCAGGATCCCACTATTCAACACAGCATATATTTAGCATGTGATATAGTCTATTGGGCAATCCTGTGAGGCAAGTATTATGAGCATTTCATAGATGACAAGACTAACTCCTATAGTAATGGATGAATTTTAAGTGCCAAGTTTATTCCTCTAGCAATGAGTTCTGGAGGAAATGTGAATTTTATTTATTTTACATTCAAACAATAGGAATTTTAAGTGTCTTTGTGGCCCTCACTATACTTAATAGTTCATTTGTTTATCATGTGTTTTCTAATTTTCATTTTAAAGTTATTATCATGGCAAACATAACCTGTATCCTTTGACAAAAGATAAGCAATAAGGAGTTAGAGAACCCAGGAAAAAGGGCCAAGGTACCTACTGATCTGGTTACAGCCAGGAAAGATCCCAAGTGGGAAAGTAGTGGAAAGTCCCCAACCACCTGATGGTTGAGTCCATGTGAGACCGATTTTTGTTCATTTTGTAGGAATAAATACTCCCAGATTTTAAATGAACACACTTTTATAGTTTTCTCTGTGGACAAATGCATTATGCAAGCATATTTATATTTTATACAAACAGACTGATACTATATATGTAGTTCTGCAAACTTTTTATTGTTATCTTACAGTGTACATGCACATGGGTGAAATCCTGTACTAGAAGACAGAGAGCACTGTAGTTGGGTCAAAAGGCTGCTGGTAAGGACAGTGACACCTAAAGCAGAGTATCGGCTCAAGGTTAAAGCACAGGGCCTGGCAAGTATCTACCAGGGAAAGCAGGGCCAGCAATATTCTCATCTGAGAAGTCAGACTCGAAGGCCAAAGGCATTAAAGGTATGGGACATCGTGTAGGCCCCTTTGGCCCCTGCCTCCGCCCCTCGCTCCCCTGACTCCGCGCTGGCCCCTGGGGGCGAACGCATCCTGTGCATCTCTCTGCATCCAGGGAAAACCACCCATTTTCTGCCTTTTCCTCAGCTCTTCCTGAGCCCTTGACATATCTGCACACTCTCTCATCATCTCCTCACTGCTTACATGCCTGTCCTCCTGAGAGTCCTTGGGGGAATCGTCTGTCCCCCTGTCTGTTTTTCGTTTTGCTTTCCGGGGCACGTAATCTTCAGCAGGACGCTTTTCTGCGGCCCTTGGCTCACTGGCTGGCTTTGCCTGGGAATCAGGCTTGCCCTCCCCTTGGCAGTGACCCTCCCCTTCAGACTTTCCCTGCTTTTCTGATTTCCCCTCATCTCGTGGTTGTCCCTGCTCATCTGGCTCTGCCTTATCCTCTAGCTTCCCCTCGTGTGCTGGCTTCGCTTTCTTGTCCGGCTTGTCGTCCTCATCGGACTTTTCTTCATCTTCAGGCTCTACTTCATCTTCTGGCTTTCCCTCCTTTGCCAATTTTCCCTCTTTTTCACCATGGAGTTCTTCCATGTCGAGATTTCCCTCCTTTTCCTGTCCTGCGAGTAAGGATGGGGGAAAGGGAGGCAAAGAAGAGACGTTAGAGACTGAGACGTGGGAGTGGAATGCAGGTTCATTTGTGTGTGGCCCTTGGTGGGGGCGGGGGGACGGGGGTCCCTTACGTTCCCAGGTTTTCCAAATGTTCCTTCTGCCTGTACCCCTCCAGCACACTTGAGACAACTATGCCCTGGCAGTCCCTGCCGCCTTCTCTGTGCTCCTTCAGTATGGAAAGCTTTGTGGAATTGGGGGGTGGGGGTGGGGGAGGGCAGCAGGGTCCCTAATCTGCCCGTGTCCCATGTCCCTAGCCATGGGACCGCCATCCACTGACCTGCAGGGATACTGGGCAGGTCTCTCCTCCTTTCCAGGTGTCACAGCGCGCTGGAAACCGCAGAGGTGCAGACCTGCAGACTGGACACAGGGGTAGGGGCTTGGCGCTCAATGAACGCACAGGCACTAAGAACCTGTCCCGAAGCCTGGACCCATCACTCAACCTTTTCCTCCGTTATCTCCCCCCTCTCCCGCCCCCCCCACGTACCCCAGCCGCCATTTCTTTTCAGGCCCTGGGCACCAAACCGGGATGCTCTCCAAAGTACATTTTGCTTTGCGCTTCCCGCTCACGCTCCAAAGGCAGCCTGCCCCACCCCCACCCTCCTTTAGGTCCAGGTTAGTTTGTCATCATAACCTGGAGTGCAAGAGAGGAGCACTCCCGAACGCATCTATGTCTCACCGTCGCACTGCGGGCCCCCTCCACCTCGTTTGCTCTAAAATGGATGGGGCTGTGGGCTGAGGGAAGCGAGCCCGCTGCAGGGGTCCTCCTCAGTCCCTCTCTCCACTCCACCCGCTCTGCGCCCCCTCCTCACCAATCTCTCCCAATCCCCCCCCCCAGCTGCTGCTGGTTGCAGCTGCCAACTGCCTCCATCCCTGCCCCAGCTCTGCAGGCACAGCCTTTCCTTACTGACCTGAGAGACCTGAGACAGGCTAGCACTTCCTTGCAGAAGCCCACTCGCTACTGGTTTGCTGCTCCGGACAGCACTGGGAGCTGGTTCTGAGCGGGCACCAGGACTGGACCGCAGGGCGGGCAAGCGGGCGCGGGGGCTGGTGCCCACGTCTGCGCCTGGCCGATCACGTGAACACCGCGTCACCCGAGCTCCCCCCCCCCCCGCCACGCCTGACCCATCTCACCCTCCACGTCCCGGTGGGACTGAGAAGATGAGGACTGTATGCAGTCTGTGTGCGCCAAGGCAAAGCCTGGAGTTGACCTGCATAAGGGAGAGGCTTCTTGCTACCAGGTGTTTTACCTGGTGCATGTCGTGATATACAGCATCTCTGATATGCCCGTTACAGGTGGGACAGTCCATCAGAAAGAGTATTTCACTTTGCCAATAGTGCTCAAATCTTGAACCACAATAACTGGCTTTAAAAACCAATTTTGGATGCAGTGGCACACACCTGTAATTCCAGCACTTAGGGAGTGAGACAGGGGTTTGAGACAAGCCTGGGCTATTGTGAATTCAAGGACTGCTCTGCTACTATCAAAACCCTGTCTCAAAACCAACCTACCAACCACCTAACCCACCAACCAATCCAGTTCTGCCTGAATATAGTGCCTGGCGTTGGTGCCTGACAGGAAAGTTGAGCTGCTATCCTAAACGGCAGTGTTCCTCAGGGTTCGGGCCTCTTGAGTCACCTTCTCTCTCTTCCTGAGTAATTGATCTCTTTCGTTTGCCTCTAAACACTAATGAATCCCAAATCTGTGTCTTCAGGCCATTTGCTCCCCAAATCTCAGACCCCTTTCTGCTTTCGCTTTAGTAATAATAGGAGCATGTTCTCCATACCCTTTCCAACAGAATATATGACATATTTTTTTAAATTCACTAACATGGTAGTTACCAAGAAGTATTTTAGTGACAGCTTAATTTTTCTTTGTGAATTGTCATGTCTTTTCTCCATTTATCTACTGGGTATTTTTTTGTCCATCTCTGTTTTTCCAAGTGTTCCTTATACATTAATGTTATTTTACAGGCTTTAATCTATTGTACATGTTGCAAATATTTCCATCCAGTTTTGCTAGTGGCCTTTTAGCTTTGTCTATGACCTTTTCATGACATGGGTGAGTTTGCTATTTATACACCTGTTTGAATGGTAGAGTACTTAAGTTCCTATGTATGGCTGGGCCCTCCGATACATGCTCTTCATATAGAAAGCACCCTTAAAGGTCTAACAAATAGAATCTTTTAGAGAGTAAAACTCCATCATCCTAGGGCTCTAATTATTCCCAAAGACAATTTCTCAAGTGTAATATGTGTAAGCCAGGAGTGGTGGCGCATGCCTTGAATACCAGCACTTGAGACGCAGAGGCAGGCAGATCTCTGTGAGTTCAAGGTCAGCCTGGTCTACATAGTGAGTTCCAGGACAGATGGGGCTACAGGGAGACCCTGTCTCAAAGAGACCAAAAAAATGATAAAAATATTTTACAATTTATGAAAGACATTTATCCGGATATAGGTCCAAGAATCCCCCCAAATCCTAAACAAAATCAGTAAAAAGTGACTTACATGAAGATATATAATGCAGTAGTTTTCAGCTACCTATATTCAATTATAGTCTAAAAATATTAAATGGAAAATTCTAGAAATAATATTCTAAGTTCTGTACTGTTCTGAGCAGCATGATGAAATCTCATGCCGTCCCATTTCATGACTTTGTTCATCATATTCACACAATATAAGCTTTCTACCTATTAGTCACACTGTTGCTATCTCAGCTATCAGAACCCTTGTGATACTACAGTGCTTGTGTTCAAATAATCATTAATTTACTTAATAATGGTCCCAAAGCACAAAGTTTGTAATGCTTGCAATTCACGTTAAGTAAAAGTCACAAAGTGCTTTTTTAACTGAAAAGCTCCACGTTCTTAACTTACTAAGTTAAAACAAAAATATGTGCTTAGGTTGCTAAAATCTTCTGAGGGTGGGGATGTTACTAGCACCTGTAAGACTCTAAGTTCAGTCTTTAGCACCAGGAAAGGAATTTGTGAGGAAAATAAAATAAAATTAATGATACTTTGCTGCTGTGTTTCAAACCACAAATGTAATGGCCACAGAGCATGGTAAGATGCTTAGTTAAACTACAGGAAAGACATTACATTAAAATACTTGCTACTATCCACATTCAGACACCTATTCTAGGTCTTAAATATGATCCTCCATGAATAAGCAGGGCCTAATGTAGTGAACTTTCAGAGAATTGAAAGCAATGAGAAAAAATTTAAAGTAGCCCCAAAAAAGTTTATGCCTCAAAAGAAACAAGTTAGATTGTTCTGGCTTCTTAGCAGCGACAATGGAAACATGAGGACAGTGCAGTATTGTTAGTGTCTTGAAAAAGTACCAACGTAGAAACTGACAACCAGCAAAAATATCCTTCAAAACTGAAGGTGACAGAGTCCAAAAAAACAAAAAAATTTACCAGTAGCAGATACAAAATATAAGAACTATTAGAAAGTTTGTTTTTCAGTTAAAATAAAAAGTATCTCAGGTAGAAGAGTAGAGATAGAAGAACGAACAATAATTAAAAGGGTAAGCATCTATAGAAATGTAAAATAACATTATTGTGATGCTTAGTATTGTCAAATTAACAGAAGCTAGAATCACTTGGGAGATGAGTCTCAAGACTTGTCTGAAAGGAATTATCTTGATCGCATCAGTTCAGTTGATAAGACCTGCCCACTGTTGGTGTCACCGTTCCCTGGCTGAATCTTGGACTCTCTAAGTGGAGAAAGGGAGCTGAACAGCATACGTGTAGTCAGGCCTCTCTGTCCCTAATTATGGTTGAGATGTGACCAGCTCCTTCAAACTCTTGCTGCTGTGATTTCTCCCCTATGATGGACTGTAACCTGGAATTGTGAACCAAATAAACCCTGCCTCCCTTACGTTGCTTTTTGCAGAGCATTTCATCATAGTAAAAGGAAAAAAAAAAAAAAAAACAACCCAAGGTAACTCTATGAAATAGTAATCTTATTTTCTTATTAACTCATAAATTAAGAGGGCTAAAGTGTTTAATGCACTTGCAATATCTTGGGAGTATGAAAAGTATAAATTGATATTAGCCTTCAAGAGGACAAAAGTGTATGTGATAATTACTGAATGAAGCTTCCATGGTAATAAAGGGATAAAAACAGAAAAATAGTACTAAAATTGAGAAAGATAACATGAATCAGATGGGACAGAGATATGGAACTTGATATAATTGTTAACTTATATCTATTAATATTAGTGACTAAATTAATGAAAATGCTGTACATGTAGTAATTAAAAGATAAATATTTTTAGAAAGTCAACTATATGATTCTTATGAAAGAAATCTTCAGGGGTGTGTGTGTTGGGGGGTAGCTAAATGATAGAATATGTGCTTAGCTTGCTGAGGTCCTAGATTCAATACCCAGCATGTATTCATTCTCATTTGTTTTCTCTCTCTCTCTCTCTTTCTTTTTCTCTCTCTCTGGAATATGAAGATTAATGAATATTGTAAGTGCATGCATAGAAAAAATCGTAGCATAGAAATACTGACCAAAAAGGAAGTCAGTATATTTACATTGATAATAATAACAATAATAATAAAAACAGTTAAAGCAAACAGTATTGCTAGAGATGAGTGCAATTAAATAATATTAAAAAAAATTTACTCACTTATCAATTGGATCTCAAAATAACTTTAAAAAAAGTTTCAGTCCTACAGGGATAAATGAATTTATTTAGTTATTATTTAGTGTTAACACCTCTTTCTCTGTAACTGAAAAAAAAAAAGCAAGTAAAAGAGCAGATACAAATTGAACAAAACAATCTGTAAAACTTGGCCTAAGGGGGCATAGGAAACACTGCACAAACTTTACATTCTTTTTAAATGAATGCAGATAATTTACTCAAATTGAATAAATTCTTGGTCATAAAACAAAATTTGAAATTGAAAATTGAACATAATATAGGGTATTTTTCATAGTGAAAAAAGTAAGAATTTAATAATGAAAGTAATTATAAAAGGCTTGAAATTTAAGTAACAAACTTATAATTCTTTGGAAATTAGAAAATGTTTGAACTGATTGGTAATTAAAACATTTACGTATCAATTATTTTTGGAACAAAAATCATATGAGCTATAGCTGAATCACACCTAGGAGGATACTTATAGCATGGAATATATATATTAGAAGAGACAAAATATTGAAAATCGATGACTCAAGCAGTCAATTTCAGAATATAGAGACAGAAAACAAATCAATTGAAATTATAAGCAAGGAGACATAATTCTAAGAGCAGAAATTAATGAAATAGGAAAGAGACAGAATAAAATGCATCAAAAAATCTCTCAGTTACTTAGGTAACGGCAGTAAAATTAATAAACACACAGATTAACCTAGAAAATAATGAAAATACACAAATAATCAATATGAGGACAAAAAGTAAGAGTACTGCTTCAGGTCCTACAGAAGAAAAAATGTATTAGGAAGAACTTATTGTCAGTAATTTCAAAATTCAGATGATTAAGATAAATTCCTATTAAAATGAAACTTTAAAAAATCAGATCAATACAGAGCCAAGAATGGTAGCCCACACCTTTAATCCAAGCACTCCAGAGGCAGAGGCACGAGGATCTCTGTGAGATTGAGGCCAGCCTGGTTTACACAGCAAGTTCCAGGCCACCTGGGACTACAGGGAGAACTGTTCTCCAAAGAAGCAAAAACAAAAACAAAATGTACAATCAATAAGTATGTTCCAGTGATCTGGATATCACAATATACAAATTTAAATTTCATTTCTTTTTTAAATAAGCAGCTTTAGTGAGATATAATTTACAAATTAATCATTTAATAATATTTTATTATTTTTATTTTATGTATACAAGTGTATTGCCTGTATGTATGTAAGCGCACCTGTGTCCTGCAATGCCCATGGAGATCAGAAGAGGGTGTTGGATTCCCTGGAACTGGAGTTACACGAGGTTGTTAGCCATCATGTGGAAGCTGGGAACCGAACCTGGGTTCTCTGCAAGAGCAGCCAGTGCTTTTAACCACTGAGCCATCACTCCAGCCCCTAAATTAATACTT